TTCAAACTAAGAAAGAAAAGATGAAGTAAACAGATAACTCGGCTATTCAGTTTCATATGTTGTACACGGTTTTTTTATGTTGACGATACTGGTAAATTTTGTTCACCAACAAGATCTATTCAGTTTAATTTATTACAAATTCTTTGTTTACTCAACCTTTAGAACTGTATATATATCCCGCACCCCGCGGGATCGTGGATGCGCGCTGCTGAGGAGTCCCATACTAGGACGAAACGGCCGTCCAGTGCTTCCAGGTTTTCCATGGTGGTCTAGCTTCAACTGACTCATGATTTCAATCTGTGAAAATTTCTAAAATCTCCGCAAACCCCTTCTGATAGTTCTATTTCAGTCAGGATAATCACAGACTCTATTTGTCCAGTGATGAATTTTTGATTTCAATATCATGTTCATAGATATTTTACTTTAAATTATTCTCACCTCAAATAGTTTCTCTATTTAAAAGTTATTGTACAAGCTATCACTAGACCGAAGTAATCAATACACTATATGCTAATATAGCTTTAGGCTATTAATCAATATATGCTCACTAGTGACTGCCTTCAAGAGATATATCCTGGAGTTCTAGTGGGAAGCAGTGACCAGTGGATTTCAACCACGTCTGTTGTGAGCTAGTAACTCACTGATGACAATGGTGGATGTATCGCTCGATTTTGTGGATTATTTGAAGTTAGATATTAACACCGTTAGATGCTGGCGCCAGTGCGAGACTGATAGGTACTAGGTTCGAGTCTCTCGAAGCGATATCGTGGATATCGTGGACAAAACGGTCATCCAGTGCCTCCAGGTTTGCGGTGTTGGTCCAGCTTCAGTTGACTCATGATCTCAATCATTAAAAATTATTAATATTTTATTGCACAGTATTATGCCACTTGGTTATGTTTTGAATAAATGATACTTAGATATAACCTGAAATTCAATAATAAGAAATTAGTAATGATGGTTGTGGTTAAGACATTTGTATATTGAAATAATACATTGATAGTATTCTGTTAGTTTGGATAATTTGTAATTACATTCAAACAGCACTACGGTTATTTCCCATGGTTATCTATTACAAACTTAGACATATATATATCTGTGAAAAATTGATAAATTCTTTCTGCTATATATGTGTGATGTCCTTTATGGAAATACTAGGCATAAACCCAAATTATTTGACTAAAATGTTTACATATTTTATTTCATTATTCATGTGATAAACTAGGGAACGACAGTTTAAGATGTTTAATACCTTCACAATTTAATTAGTGTTTGTTAAAACTTGTAAACTGTGAATGATTAGCAACCATGTAAGGTATCACTTTTCTTGTTACTATGAATTTATTTTTCTTCTCTTTTTTCAGAATTATTTTGTGTACTATCTATGACATTTCCAATATTATTCTGACAAGTGTCATACGTGCTTAACTATGTAGGATTTATGTACATAATTGTCTAGTTCTATTTCAGACATCATTGTATTGTTGTACTTGCAGTCGTCATAAGTTTAACTTTCTTACTAAGATATAGTGCAATGATTTATTATCTAACATTATTCAAGACTTCTTTCTTGATACAACAATGTCAAGTTTTATGAGATGGAAAGCACAATATTTCAGGTAATGATTATCACAATGTGTGATTAATAGTATTTGTAAATTAATATTCTTTTTTATCAGTAAGAGCATATTTGGAGATGGTCTACTTTAATTAGGATTCTTGATGTTCAAGTAAAAAATCATAACTTCAGTTTAACGTCTTTTGAAGTTAAAACGGTTGCATATATGTTAAGCACCACCTAACTCGATGCGCAACGTTGTTTCGAATAGGAGTAGACTGAAAGATTATATAGGACTGAATCAAAATATTATAATTGTTCATGAAATAACTAGCTGTTGAAGTGAGACGCATTGGCAGGTGGAGACTAATTGAATGTTCCTGGTATGATAAAAAAGACCAGTTGTTAGGGATATTAGATGACTATTCAGAATTCAATATGAGATCTTGAGTCTCGGTTTTCCATTGTATATGCCTTCTTTTCAGATCCTAATTTAAAATGTTTCATCTTGTTTATATTGTGCTGATCTAATAGTTACTTTGATTCCTCGCTGTTCATCTTATATTTACAGTCCATCGTATTGATATTGCATAAACATATTAAATGGCACTTATTTGTGCCAATTAGTAATGTTATTTTTAACTAAATGAGCTTGACTATTATCACCAGTGGTGGTCGTAGCCTGTAAATAATTAGACAGAAACTTACAAGTATATATGTATCCTGTTCACTGACAAATTAAATTACTTTTCATTTGTTCTTACTTGTGATGATAAATATACGGCGTTGTAAATTCTTAGACCAAGCTTAAATACTTAATAAATGCATCATGAACTGCATCAAATAATTACAGTTTATTACAAAAACTCTATTCAAATTCAACAACCTCTTATCACCAATCAATCCATTAAACATTACATTCTTGATTTACATAAAATCCAGTTTCATCAAATCAGAACAATTGGTAAGTAGACACTAAACAATGTGGTAAGAATTTGTCAAGATTATTATCCGATATTAGTTCATGTTACCTTTTAGAAAAGTTTATAATGTATTCAAAGATGTATGATAACCAGCACAGGAATCCATGACGTATATTATGTCCTATTTTGAGACTGTTATATCTTGAATGTTGATTTCTTGATGTGCCGTGGACAACAGAGCACCAGAATACCAAAACCCTTACAAGTCGCAATAAGAAGACAGAAGACTAATGAAAGGAATATTATTCCAAACAGTGTCAATTATAGAACAAAATTGTCAGGTATTCATAGTAAGAACGAAATCATCATTACAGTCCAAGAATCAGTATACAGGGGCTATTAGCATTGTCCGATCGGGAAGCTACAAGCAGGAATTCTAGAATATTCTCCCGAAAGGTGATTGGATGAAACATAGTCGGCTCCTTCTAAGCCTCTTACAGCTTCCTCGCGTTCACCCGTGGTCCGTTGTCACAGAGATTCATTAACCTGGATGTACTAGCACCCCACAATTGATATTTACTTTAGGAATTTAACCCAGTGCCGTTAATTTAAAAAGCTATCACATTATCGACTTAGTAACTGAGTCCAGCTAGTCACTAGCTTGTGGAATGAGTAAACGGATGAGTTGCACTTAGTAACAAGTTTTATTTAGATATTTGATATAATTTCACTTTTATAAACTTCAGTAGAAATTTGTTTTTATATTGAAAAACTGTTATTCTCCTTTTAATAAACATCAAATCATTTTCAATTATTCAATTTTGATATTAATCAGATAATAACTTTTCTAAATGGGTTTTCAAAGATAACCCCGATAAGTCAATTAGTTTAATGATCATTTATTACTGTTTTCTATTAAAGTTTTATCATTAGTGTAGTTATGTTTTTGTTATGATTTGAACTTCATTTAATGTTAAGATCTGATCAGTAAAGAGCGAATGATTCTATTTTTTTCAACACTAATAATAGGCATCCATAATTATTCAGGGTGTGATG